TAGCCTCCTTGGGAGGCTGGTTCCCTTGTAGGATGAATTCACTACGAGGCCTCTACCCAGAACCATTGTCACTGTGTGGCCCAGAGACTGGTTGGCCTGGTGGCAGATCACTGGCTCTGCCCAGGAAATATTCCCCCAGAAAAATTTATAGAGGGTTCCCAGCCACTGCAGCCTGTTAGAACAGAGCAGGCGTGCTCTGAAGGAGGCTCCAGTGGGTGCCCAGGAAGCGCCCTAGAGAGGCTTGTCGGGGTCCCACCGCTGACACACCTGCTCTCCATTCCCACAGTCCCCAACACGCTGCTGGTCCTGCCTGCCATGACCCCTCTCCACTAGTCTAATTGTTGCCTGTCAAGCCCTGACCTGGCCTTGCTAGGCAGCTGACAGCCCTCCAGGGTGGAGAAGGAAGAGGAGAGGAAGATATCTCAGGTGAATGTGTCCCAGTTAGCCACCAGGTGGTGCCATTGACATAGGACAACCAGGCCGTCAGTGGTGGCAGGAGGGGCGGGGGGGGGGTGGCAGGATTAGTGGAGGGCCTTCCAGACAATTAGTGCCCGCCACTGAGGACCTCCAGTGATGGGCCCCCTGGTCAGTGCTTGTCTCTTAGGGACACTGTTGTACCAAGGGCCTGACCCTAAGAAGGCCTTGGCACAGGACGAACAGGGAATCGAGGCTGGGGAACGGCGCCGCCTCTGTTTCTGCACAGCGTCGGCATTGTTAGCAGTGTGACGGGGGCTGGTGGTGGGCACGAGGTCTCGCTGGCTTCCCCCAACCAAGTTTGCAAGGAGATTCTAGTCTAACCCCGGGGATTAGACTCGCCAACGGGGAGCCCTGCCCTCTGGTCCCAGGTATGCCTCTGGTCCCCGCCTTGCCCCAAGCAGGCCACCTACTCTGTTTTTCTCCACCACGATCAGTCGGGTGAGGCATATAACACCAGCCCCACTGGGAGAATCAAGAGAACTGCAGGGAGCACAGTGATCAAAAACAGCCGCAGGAGCTCACGTCCTTGCTCCACTGCTTCCTTGCTGTGTGGCCTTGGGCAGGTGGCTTGCACTCTCTGAACTTCGGTTTCTTCATCTGTAAAACAGGGGCAGCAACACCTACCCCCTCACAGAGGTTTCTGTGAGGACTGAAGTGGTCAGCACATGAAAAAGCTTTTGGAAGTGTGTCTGGTATGAAACAAATACTTTATAAACAGGTGAAGATACAGAGCAGCTTGGGCTCAGAAGGGGCTCTGGGGAGGGTCGGGCCAGCCGCCCAGCCCAGGCAGCATGCAGGGTGGATGGCCTCCGGGTGGGTTTGCACACCTCAGGTAACAGAGAGCTCACTCCCTTCTGAGCAAGGAGGCTGGTGCACTGTGGGCCAGCCCAGCTCATGACTAGATGGGCAACCTTCAAATGAGGCACAGCTGGTTCTCAGGGGCTGACTTGTGCCCCTGGGCCTGGTGGTCAGGGCCCCCCAGTGCAGCAGGGGCCCATTGCTCTGTGATGCAGAAAGGGGGACCCCAAAGGAAAAGCTGGGTATTGCTAGGAGGGAAGGGAGGCTGCCCTCCACACTGGCCCTCTCCAATGTAGGGGTGCCTGAGGAAGAGGATGGAAGGGGACAAGGGAATCAACCAAGGCGTCCTAGAGCCCTGGGCAGTGGGGACCCCGAGGACTGAAGGAGTGGGACGCTGTGGGTGTCAGACACCAGGGTCGTCGTGAGGGGCCCCTCCATCTGGTGAGTTCCTCCTGGTGCTGGAGCCTGTGGGCCGGAAGGAAGTGACCTCCCATGGTGGTGGGGGAGGGGAGGGCGGAGAGTGGCCCCCTTCCCAGGCACTTCTGCGTCCTGTGCACCTGCCGCCCACAGGGCCACTGGGAGGAAGCACGGAGGAGACGGCACTGGAACCTAACGGCGGCCAGGCCGGGCCGCACACTCACGCGCTCGCCTTTGCTGCCCTGGGGCAGGTGGAAATCCTGGGTGGGGGGTCTGTTTTCCTCTCTAAACAGGGAGTGCCTTAAAGGCAAAAGTATGACTTAGGTTTTGCACTGCCACTGCCTGGCACACAGTAGGCACTTAATAAGTGTATGTGGGAACTAAACTGAAAACAGAGACCAGCCATTCAATGGAAAGCTTTAGTCTTTAAGAGGACGTGGCCCCTTAGGACTCCCCCATTTCCTCCTCCTTCAGGGCTGCCGCTTCCTCCAGGAAGCCCTCCTCTCTGCTCTGTATATACCCCTGCCACTGAGATGGGCTGCAGCAGTGGTCAGGAGCAAAGAGGCTGGGGCCATCCTCAGTCACTTCCCCTGGACACGGTTCTTAGCTGTGTGACCGACCTTGGGCAATTCTATTTTAACCTAGAGGGTGCTGCAGCGCCCTCTTCTGTAAAAAGCGATTATTGTACCCTCCACACACGGGGTTGTGCTGAGGATTAAATGGACTTGATTAAAAGTGTCGGGCGGTGGGTTAGGAGCCGCCCGGAGGTGCGGTTGTGGCCCACCTGTGCTGCGTTACTGCTGCTGCCCTGGTGCAAACCAGTGCTCAGCACGAGGTGAAGGGCGGGGCTGATGGGAGGAAGGGCAAGACGGATGCCTGGACAAGAACAGAGCGCTGAAATGCACCATCGCCCAGGGGCCTCACGGGCAGCGGCCCCCTGCCTTTGGCCAGCAGAGCCCATGTCCTCTGTCCCTCCTCCCACGGGCTCATTTGCTGCCACCAAGGGCGTGCCTGGGGAAGGACTGCCCATGGATCCAAGTCCAGAGTTCGCTGCCCCACACGGGGTTGGGTGAGAGGAGATGGAAAGTTTTGATGAAAATGGGGTTTTTGGATGTGCTGTGGTTCCTGTCGCCCTGGGTCCTGAGGCCCAGACGGCACAGCCTGGGCCCGCCGGCTCCTGCCCCAGGCCGGCTCCTGCCTCTTCCTGGAGGCTGTGGCTGCATGGTGCCCAGGGGCTCAGAGACTCATCAGTGACTGGAGGCCCCACCCCCTCCCCATGCCCACTTCTTCTTTCCTGGTCACATCAGTGCTGTCCAGCCCAGGCGCCTGCTGGATGTGGGTCCTGCCATCCTTCTGAAGCCAGTTGGGAGTCTACTGTGTGCCAGGCTTGATGTTGGGCACCACCTTCACTGCAGGCCTGGGAGGAGGGCGCTTTATCCCCCTTCACCCATTCACCCATCCATTTATGCACCAGAGTTTATTGAGCATGTACTAGGCGCAGGCCCTGGGCTCTTGTCAGAGGGGAGGCCAACAAAGAGGAGGCACCAGGCAGGCAAAAGGGGCCATAGGTGGGACCAGGCCCAGAGGTGGCCAAGCTCCCAGGCTCCAGGGCTGCAGCCTGGAGGCAGCTGCAGTGCGAGGGGCCTGTGGCTGTGTGCAGGGGTGTGGGGAGAGGCAGCATCCGGGTGACAGGCAGGAGTGGAGCTGGCGCCTGGGTCCGTGTTCTGAGGCAGGCTGGCACTCGGCCGCCTCCTGATGCCAAATCATAAAGAGACTCCTGGAGGCACAGACCGAAGCCTTTAAACCGCTCCCTCCGCGCACAGAGGCATTAACGTGCCGTCTATCACCATGGCATCGCGGTGCGTAGTCAACCTGCCCCCCCCCCAGGAGCTCCGAAACAGCGTGAAGCAGATGATCTGTGTCTCACTGCGACTTGTGCGCTCATGTATCATCCTGATGGATCCACAGTCAATACCACTGGGGTCCCCTCCGGCCCCCAGCTGCTAGGAACGGTCTTGCGTTCACATGTCTTCCTCACCTGGCGGGCCATCCCACTCCTGCCTGTGTTGTCCGCCCGGCACTCCGGTGGTGGTGGGGACCCTCTTCCAGGGTTCCTCGTCCTTGTGCAAAACAGCCTGGAGAGGGGAGGAGCCTGCTGGAAGGAGGGAACCGGCACCCTGTCACTCCATCGTTGGGGGCTGCACCGGGAGGTGCAGGAAGGCTGGGGCCTCACACAGCTGGGTGTTACATGCTGGCCCCACGCACCTGCCCTGATCTTGGGCAAGTTGATTTGCCTCTTGGGGGCATAGTTTTCTCCTTTGCACAATCGGGATACTAACGTTTATCTTGATTAATGGAGGAATGCCAAGGGCAAAAGGCTCCCTGTCTGCAGATAGTTACTGCCCCTGTGCCCACACCTGCTGGATGTGAGGACGGGGCTGCTGTGTGGGGCCAGGTGGGGAAGAAAGTCCTGTGTCTCCTGGTGGGGGAAGGGTGTGCTTAGGTTTAGGGAAGCCGAGGGTAGGAAAGACATTTCGGGCAGGCTGGGGAGGAGGCATCTGCTGGGTCTCTGTGGGGACCCACGGTGGCCCTCGCTGGGTTGCTGACCAGCTGTGGCACCGTATGGGGCTCGGAGCGTGTGGCTGTCCTCCATCACTCACCTGCCTCTTCCTGTATCCTCCCAGGCGGTGGCACCCCCACCCCAAACCCTGCTCTTTTATTTATTTGTTTTTAGGGAGAGGGGAAGGGAGAGAGAGAGGGAAAATGTATGAGAGGTACACTGACCGGTTGTCTCTTGCACACCCCCAACTGGTAACCTGGTCTGCAACCCAGGCACGCACCCTGACTGGAAATAGAACTGGGGACCCTTTGGTTCACAGGCCGGGGTTCAATTCACGGAGCCACAGCAGCCAGGCCAAACCCTGCTCTTTCATGAGAGCCCACATCCTCAGGGGACTCCTGGGCTAGTCCCAGGGGAAGTTCGAGTGAACCTGGGCATTTTTAAGCCGTTTCAGGAGTGAGCGGCTAAACCAAGCCCTGGAGTTATTGGTGGAAATCTGTGCTCCCTCATCACCAGGATCTGGACCAGCCACCAGCTGGAAAGGGGTCAGGAGGGGAGGAGCCCTCACACCTGGTGGATTGGGAGGCCTGAGCCCCGCCCAGCTCTTCTGCAGAAGAGAGAGCACCAGAGCCTCACCTGGCACCGCCTGCCTGGGGTCATCGGTCATCAAGAGGAGCAGGCCCAAGAGGCCTTGAGGAAGCAGGGAGGCCAGGGAGGAGCTTAGTGGGGATGGGAAGGGGAACTGTGGCTACCAGCAGCTGTCCCCTCCTGGGAACTAAAGAGGAAGCAGAGACACTGTCCTGGAGGCCCCATGGAGAGCTGGCCTCGGCGGTGCTGGGCCCCACGGGGCCCCCTCGTAGCCCCCTGGCTCCTGGGCTTGCTGCTGTGCCCCTGGACCCTGCGGCCCACAGGTATGTGCTCTCCTTCCCACGTGCTCCCCGCTCCGGCGCTGCACATCAAAGCAGCTTTCATCCGCCCGCCGCCCCGCCCGCCCGTGCAGCTAATTCCCGTCTGGTCTGGGGGGATTTGCTGGTTGCGTTTGAACACTGCAGACTTCACAGGGGAAGCCTTCGGGACCAGGAGATGTTTAGCTAATGCCTCGCCAAGGTGGCTTTTGAAGAGGTGGGGGCAGCGCTCCCCCTTCGATGCTGTGTTGAGAGCCTCCCTCTCAGCACTGTCTGACCTCCTGGCCCTTAAACCAGGGGGGTGGGCACGGCTGTGGCCAGGGGGCACTGGGGTTGGGGGCAGAGGTCAGTGGGGAGGGACAGCTCACCCCCAAGGAATCTAAGGTAGAAGCAAGCTGTTGAACCTGCCAAGTGGCAGAGGCCCCTTCGGTGTCGTTGCAGGGTTAGCTGGGGGTGAGGGGAGCCAGCAGCTGGCCGCCAGGAGCACTGTAACCTGTAGCACGAACAGTTGTCACTGTTACCAGAAAGGATGGCACCACCCACTTCCTGGAGGACAATCAGAGGTTACATCGTTATTTTACAATGGGAGCTAGGCATTTTGGGGGATCAGCACTGTGCCCCCTTCCTGGTCCCAGGCCCCCTTGGAAGCTGGAGGCCCAGAGTCAAGCCAGGACCTGGGGTGGGTGGCCTTGGGGTGAGTTCATCCAGGCCAGGGAACCCCCAAGAGTGGGCCTCCCCAGGGCTGCTTACACTGGCTCAGTCTCTTCCTGGGCAGCATTAACCCGACCCCCCAACCCTTGTGGGGCGGACCCGGGCAGTTCCCCCTCTTCACCCAGACTTGGATGAGGCTTCCAGGAGCCGCCCACTCCGCTTCACCCTCTGCCTTTCGTTTATACCATGAACAACAACAGCTGTTATGATCATGAATCTTGGAGCTTCACACTCACCCTGACTTCACACACACCCAGCGCCCCTTGCGGCCCCCTTGGGGTGCTATTCCGACCAGGACCATTGAGGAACAGGAAATGGAGACTTGCAGAGGCCGGGCAGCGTGGCCAAGGCTTCGCTGAGAAGAGGTCAGGTTCAGACCCAGGTCAGCCTGAGCCCAGAGCTAGGACTATTGGCCGTGGGTGGGCCCGGGGCTCCTCTCACCCTTGTTTGTAAGGAACATTCTTCAGAGAAAAGTCTCCCCTTCCTCCCCACCCCCTCAGGCAAGAGCCAAATGTGTGGTACCTACTGCAGGCCTGCAAACCTGGCCCCTGGTGACATCCATCCTTGAATCTGGTCACCTCGCACCCCCTCCCGCCCCCGAGAGACGAGAGATGGGCCGGGGCAAAGATGGCCTGAGGAGACGATGCGTTTGCACTCACACTTAGTCATTTTAAACTTAATTCCCCCAGATTCCCATCACTTCTCCTTGTGTGGTTCCTCCTCCCCAGAAGGGACCCTCCACAGGATGCAAACTGGAAGAGGCTCTGCAGGTGCTGACGTGAAGGGCGATTTTGTAACCATCCTGAGTGCAAACAAACAGCAGATTTCCCCCAGTATTGCAGCAAACGCTACAAAAAGAGAAACTCTGCCCTTTCACAAGAGGCGAAGTCATCCTTGTGGTCCCCGGAACCCCTGGGAGCAGCAGACAGCACCCCATTTCTCCTGGTCCTGCCCCTGCAGCTCCAAGTCTGTTGATCTATGACCCCTCCTCCTGGTCTCTGCGTTTTGATGAAGGAATTCGGCCCCTCCCACATCACCTAAACCTCCCCCGACCTTAGAAACCACTGTGAGTGAGATGCAAGGATGAGGGCAGGCCAGGGGCGCTCGGCCTGAGTTTGAATCTGTTCTGCGACCCACCCAGAGACCCTGGGGGCAGGGGTTCTCAATGCCACTGTGCCTCAAGCGCCTCATCTGTTAAATGAGTGGGGCAGTGGAGCCTGCCTGCTGGCACGCCCCAGGCCTGGGTGGCTGGGGCACAGGGTTAGGGCTCAGAGAGGCAGCGCCTGCCAGCCCAGCAGAGCCGGCTGAAACGTGAGAGTCAGTTGACATCCAGGTGAGCCCACAGGCTCCTCGGGGTCACGCCCGCCTTTTCAGTGGTCTCCAGCACACCCTGGGATGGCATCTCGGGACCTCCTGCTGTGAGTCAGGACTCAAGCCTGCTCTCCTGAGCCCTCTGCAAACTGCTTTTCTCAGAGGGCCTGGCAGCCACCTGTGGTCTCATGGGCAACTGCTCTCCCAGGGGTGAAACACCTGAGCCGGCGCACCTGCTCTCTAGCCTTGCTTCCACCAGGCCTCAGTCACCTCCAAGGGCTCTGGGGCCAGACAGGCCAGGTTCAAGTCCTGCCTTCTTCCATGGACTGCTGTGTGAGCTCAGACAAGTTACTTAACCTTTCTGAACCTCAATGTCCTCTGCAAATGTCAGTCCCCTTTCTCTTTCTGGCCTTTGCAGAACCCTGGGCTGTGTTATTTCTCAAATACCCATTGAGGAGGACCTATTCTAGACCCTGGGGTGACTTAGAAGTGAACAAGCCCCAATTCTCACTCTCAGCCTGTTGGAAACTGTGAGATTTGCCTGGAGAACTTGACCCCTGACCAGAGGCGGGAGTTCCAGGCTGGGGTTTGCCTCCCTGCTCCCGTTCACTCTGGACTCATGTGCCGTCGCCCCCTTTGACGTCCAGAAGGTGGTCAGGAGCCTCCTGCCCCCTCCTCACAGCCCTGGCCTCTGCTTTTCCTCTTTGTCTGGTCCCATACAGAGTTTTGGAGGCAGGCAAGGAGAAGCGCTTCCCCGCTGGAGGTGGGGCAGGGGAGAGTGTTGGAGGGGCAAGGGAGCAAGATGGGGAGGAGAGAGAGCAGGGGGGTGGCTAGCAGGCCCAGCAGGGGCGAGGGCTGGGAAGGCGGAGCCACGAGGGACCGTGAGAGGGCCTTTAGCTGCAGAGCCCCAGGTCCCCGCAGAGCAGTGGGTGGTAAGTGCTGTTGCCGTAGGTCCTACTGTCTCCGCCCTCTCTTTTGAAGTTGTGACACACAGGAAAGAACAACACATTTTGTCAAACAGTCCCGTGTGACTGCTCCCCCAGGTCAAGGAAGAGGACATTCGGGTGCCTCAGAGCCCCGCCGACCCCCCACAGGACCCCTCTCCCCTCAGAGTCTTCTCTGTTTCGGCTCTGTGTGTCGTCAGAATGGTACTGTGTATCTTCTTTTGTGACCTGCTTCTTTCATTCACTGCTGTGTTTTGGAAGATCTATCCAGATGAGGGTGTGGTTGAAGTTTATTTTCATCGCTAAAAGGCAGGGGTTGCAAACCACAGCCCGCAGGCTAAGTCCAGCCCACAGCCTCTTTGTATGGCCTACAAGTTATGAATAGTGTTCAGATTATTTTAATGGCCAAGGGGAACCCCCAAAACGAATGTTTCAGGACATGTGAAAATTGTACAATATTCATATTTCCGTGTCCATAAATAAAGTTTTATTGGAACAGAGCCATACATCTCCTTCATAGATCATCTATGTCTGCTGACGCCCTGCGTCGGCGGAGTTGCGTCTTCGCGATAGAGGCCATATGGCTGCAAAGCATAAAGTATTTGCTGTCTGGCCCGGTGCAGAGCACATTTGTCAGCGCCTGCTGTAGAAAATGCCACTGAATGAATGCACTGCGATCTATTTACTTACGCTTGGCGTTTCAGGTGCTTCCCGTCTGGGGCTGCGGGTGCTCGTGTGTGGTCTCCAGGCACGCATGGGTTTGGAGCTGCCAGGGCACGTGTCCCCACTGAGGCTGCTTCTCTCTGGGCTGGCTGCCCCCCTCCCTGGGGGGACTCTGGGCTTCCAGAGGGCAGGAGGGCCCAGTGTAGCGCTGGCACCAGGGGTGCCCAGGAAACTCTAGCAATAATGGGCAATTCAGTGCCTTGGCTACAGACAACCCGGTAGTGGTTCTGAACATGGTGGAGACTTGATGCCACCAGGACAGGCACGGGGATCCTGGGGTTCTATGGGTGTGAGCCTCCTGGTCCTCCTGAGCCTCAGGCACGACTCTCCTGTCTGGTGAGTGACAGCAGCAGGCGAAGGTCTGGGTAAACAGGGGCCTGGACATGGGATCCACCTCCCACGTCTCCCCTCTGACCCTGGGCCTCCGTCTGCTTCCTCGTTCATGTGGGTCTAGGCGGGAGCTCACTGTAGTCGGCGTGTGGGTGTCAGATGCTGGGATGGGGGCCCAAGACAGAGGAAGGCAAGGGGCGGCTGGGGTGAGCCTGGAGCAGGGGAGCGGCGGGGATAGATGTGAAATTGGCAGGTGAAGCTCCTGGTCCTCTGGCGAGGACAGTCTGCCGGGCTTGGGTTTGGGTCTGAGGAGGCTTCAGCCAAGCCGCCTGACCACTGAGTCCCAGGCTTCCTGTCATGTTGTGTAGCGCCCTCCTCTGCTGGGGCCTGGCCAGCGGCATCAGGACAGCATGTCTAGGACCCCCTGACACTCCTCAGGGTGGGCTGGTGGGGACTTGACCATGGGAATGGGATGGCGTGTGGTGGGCCTGGCAGGAATCTGCACCCCTCCTTCTCTAGGACTGTGTGAGCTGTGGTGGAGGGTGGGGGCGGAGCTGGAGCCCCTCTGAGGCTCTGGGCCAGACCCTTGCTTGCTGCTGAAGGGCCAGGGGAAGGGGACACTGAGCAGGCACAGTCCAAGCCCAAGGGCAAGGAAGGTGCTCCCCACAGTGCTTGCCATAGGGTCCAAGGGCACATTTCTGCAGGACCCAGAAACACATATTAACATTTAAAACATGCATGCCCTTCAAATCAGCCCCTGCCCCTCACACCTTGTCCTAAAAAGCTAAGGGCCCTGAAGACAATCCACCAGGGAGATCCCCAGGGGGTGCCGCACAGCTGCCGACAGAGTCGCCCCGCCCGTCTGCTGGGCTCTCATGGCAGTATGTGTGGGTAAGACCCCCCTTCCTTGCAGGCTGCTGCCCCCTCCTCCCACACCCCGCTTCTGAGCCAGGCTGGATTGCTGCCTGCCCCTGAAGCTCCTGCCGC